CCAGTGAAGCAACGTCCTCCACAACTAGACTGAAGAACAAAAGGACGGCAACTTGTCTGTTCCCCTTCCCTCAATTCCCCAATAAAAATCTTTAAAAAAAGTGACTCAATGTCTAAGAACGTCATTATATATATGAATACTTATAAATATAGATAGTTTTAAAGATAAAGGGGTGGAAAAGATAACATGCAGACAGGAAACACAAGAAATCTGAAGTGACTATTGATATCAGACTTCCGAACAATGGAAATTACCAGAGATAAAGAGAAACAGCCTGTGATGAAAAAAACTGAATAGCTAAAACTATTTTGAAAAAGAAGACTAAAGTTGGAGGAAACAAATATCCAACTTTAAGACCTATTATAAAGCTATAGGAATCAAGCTAGCATGGTAATAGTGAAGGAATAGATCGATTAGTGGAACAGAATAGAGTCCAGAAATTGACACAAATATGGCCAATTGATTTTTGACAAAATTACAGCAATTCAATGGAAAAAGGATATTTTTAAATAAATAAGTGCTTGAACAACATAAGCAAATAAAATGAACCCCAACCGAAAGCTTATGTGTTAACTCAGAATGTATCACTGATCCAATTATAAGACTATAAATGATTTACTGGTTAAACCCCTTACGACCATGTTGAAATAACAGCAATTGAAGTACATACTAAGAATACCTTTCTTATGGTGTTGGTAACAGTAATGTTGTCACTACTACTGTTTTACAAATGAGGAAAAAGAGGCAAATAGAAGGTTAGTAACTTAAGGGCACACAGCTTGTAGATGGGACTTGTAGTAATGGTTCCTGAGCGATTTGTGTGACAGAAGAGATGGTGAAAGGGGGTAAGAAGTAAATATTTTAGAAGCCTTTCTCAAGAGTCTGGATATTGGAAGCTCATTTGTCCTGCTAATGATGTTAATAAATCACACAATTGCCCACCTGTATTGTGTTGCTTATTTTTTGGTGTTACTGCCTTGAAGGGAACACAATGAACCATGGACAGGGAAGGTGAAGAGGTTCACCACCATCGTGGCCTGGTCACTTGTCCTGTAATTGGACCCAGCTAGACTGCCCAATGCTCAGATGCCCCACCCTGCCCTTTTACCCCGTTATACAAGTTCGATTTTGTATTTCTCTACACCTTTTCTGGTTTGTCCTTATAAATGTCATGGTTTTCTCAATAAAGTTATACCTTGAGACTTACATATTTATTGCAATATGAATAGAATGTCATATTTTATCAAATTACTATTGGCAAATGGGAAAGTTTTAGATTATTTGCTTAAAAATAGTTCAAATGTCCTGCTAGAATTTCAGTTTTTTTCCTTAGGTTAGTCTTCAACTTGTTTAAAACTTAATCTCTTTTTAATAGGTATCCTACTTTTGTTCTTGAATTATTGTATTGATAAGAATTTTGGACAATATTAATATTAGTAATAATAGTGATACTAAGTGCTGTTTTTTGGTTACCAAATTTAATTTGGTGGAGTTTTTTTAGTGTTGAATAATTAGGTAAAATGTTATATGGAGGCTATCTAAAATTCTTTAGTTCTATTACAGGATTATATTATCTCCTTGTTCCTTTTCTAAAATCATGTTCGGAGCCTCATGGCACACTATATTTC